TATTAAGAAAAAGCTTGCTGGGTGTGGTGGCACAGGCCTGTAATCTCAGTGACTTGGGAGGCTGAGGCAGGAGGATTGCAAGTTTGAGACCAGCCTCAGCAACTTAGGGAGGCCCTAAACAACTTGGCGAAACTGTTTCAAAATTAAAAAAAAAAAAAAAAGGGACTGGGGGTGTAGCTCAGTGGTTCAACACTCCTGGGTCCAATCCTCAGTACCAGAAAAAGGTGGGAGAAAAAGCTTTTATTATTTTATTGGCAATTTATTTCCCCATTGAAATTCATCTTCTCTGCAATGCACTGGCCAGAGTCCCAGCCTGTTTCGTCCTTGGTATAAGCCAAAGAATGGCCAAAGCAGAATCCTAGTCTATTGCCCACAGGAGCTCTTAGCCTCAGGGGGATAACGGGTCAGAAGATTTATGTTGACAGAGTAATTTTCCCATCTCTGGGCCAATGATTCTATCTTTAGAAAAAATAGGGGGAAATGTGTGATGCTGACTCAAGCCAAAACAAAAGCCTTCTTCCTTCCTATGATCCCTCCAGGTGGGAAGTTTCAGTTTCTTCAACAAGTGGGCTGCAAGGGCACACCTGCCGTGTGCCACCTGCAGCACTTGTAAAAGCTTCTGAAGGGTTCATTTTCTCCCTTCCCCCTTCACCATGGAGACTGTGGAGGAGAGTTTGTAAGGCAAACTGGATTTGCAAGCACCAGGGATGGCTGCTCAGCCAGACCCCATCTCCCGTGTTGCCCAGTCACTATGCAGAGCTTCCCTGCCTGGGAGCCCACAAGGGAAGACGTTTTGTTATTATGAAGACGGTTTGTTACAGATTTTGGCCCTTCCTGCATGTTCTCTCCTTTCTTGCATTACTGCTCAAAGAACACAAACTTCGTTTCTCYGTCATCGGAGCATCATTCAGAAACGTTCTGCTGATCTGTGAATCGTTGCCTGGCTCTTTGATCCAGGCAGTGTTACAGGTCCTCTGCCGGCAGGAGGAAGCAGTCCAACAAAATCTGAAGACCCAACACTTTCAGAAGCAGTGATGATCAGGCTGGCAAACCACAAAACCTTGCGAGCTGAATTGATGTCTTAATAAGGCTTTAGATGTAGTGTGGCCAGCGTCGGCAGAGGAGACTAAAGGGGAAAAAAAGGGCTGCAAGCGTTGTGTGGTAAATCACTGCAGACCCACTGGGAGTGACGGCCCTAGGAAGTGAATGATGTCGCCAGCAAAGAATTGACCGCAGTTTTCCAGAAACAGAACATGATGTACAACAGGGAGGACAGACCCCCGGATGTGAGTACAATCTCTTCAATGCAGGATTTGGAGCAATGAGAGCAAAGCTAATTATTATGACTGGTGGCACTGCCTGACCACAGGGCTCTGGGGGTCTGGGGGCCGTCTCCTGGCGGGTTGTGCATAATGCCTGTTTGGGACTTTTTTTGAAGGTCTCTTCTTAGAATATTTTGCCTGTCAGGAGACTTGAATGTAGTGCTTTGAGATATTGGCACCAGGCAACATTATTATAAATCTGCAAGAAAACGGCAAAAGCAAACCTTAGACTTTTGCTGTGTAAAGAAAACCTATCACATCACAGACCAAGCAGCTGTGTGACCCTCTGGCATTTGTGATGAGACAAAGGAATTTGCAAATTGGAAAACAATGATGGGCAACAGGCTGGGAAGAGGGTAGTCTGTCTTAGGAGGCTGAATTCCTTTCTGGATTTGGGGTGCTTATTACATACTTACACTCATGAATTTATTTCTTTTCTGGTTAAAAATGGGCAGCATGCTTGCACTTAAGGTTTTTCCTCCAGAACACTGAAAAATGAGCATTGTGACAAAGAGGGATGTCATTGATAGGCTTGGGGCAGAGGAAATTCCTCACTGCCAGGAGTGGAAAATGTCTCGGATGGTAGCTATCTATTTGGAAGAGGAAGCTCAGATTTAATGAGGGAATGGGGTTGCTACCGCCAGGCCCAACAGGTTGGCAGTGGAGTTAACTCATTAACTGCAGGCTGGTTGCCACTTTCATTACACTGTAGGGGGTTGTCCATCCCCTCTTACCCCTTGGCCCTCACCTGGCTCTGTCCTGCCTGACCTGCTGATTTCCAGGCATCAGATGAGAAGCAGAATATCTTCTCCAAGTGAGGGTGCAGGAGGAGATGGGAAGCAGAGAAGACTCGTCTGCTACGATCTCTTCATATCTACCCTGTGTGTGAAGCACCTATAGGCAAATACTGGAGGTCCTAGCAGTGAAGCTGTTACTGTACTTAAATTGGGAATGAGCTCAAGATGTCCAAGTACTGCTGTTAGCAGACTAGGGATTGGAATCTGTCATTTTGTTCCTCATTTTGCAGGCAGTTTTCTGTGCAACTCTCATGGGGGTTGGGGAGTATCCAGATTATCTTTCTTCCCAGCCCACCTCTCCTGCAAGCTGTTCTATGGGTATATTGTTGGTGGTGGTGGGACAGAGGTGTAAAGAGCATTCTTAAATAGATGTAATTGAAAAGCAAAAAACAAAATGACATTTCTGGCCAAAATTTTCTCAACACTGTAGTGTTTTTCTAGAAAAATTAATAATGAGGGCTGGGGCTTAGTGGTAGAGCACTCACCTCTCACGTGCGAGACCCTGAGTTCAATCCTCGGCACCACATAAAAATACATAAGTGAAATAAAGGAATTGTGTCCAACTATAACTAAGAAATAAAAAAGAGATGGGTTGGACATTTAAATGCAATCGTCTAAACAAGGTTCACTCAGCCAGAAGTTCTTACGCAGGCTGAGAGGCTGAATTTGTTGCATGAGACAGGAGGGTAGAAGTGGCGTGGCCATCAATTCACCTGAAGCCAGTTGGACCTTGTGTCCCTTACTGAGACTGAGCAATGCTGCTGGTGTGACCTCGGCTAAGATTGCCGCCAAGGTCTGTAACCTTAAGAGCTAAGCTATGGAGTAGAATTTTAGGCATAATTTTTGTATAAACTGAGCCATTGGACTTAAATACCATTGCATAAAAGGTTCTGGAATGGAATGCGGGGGGGGGTAAGGTCAAGTGTACAGAGAGAACAAATGGGTAGAATGAAGGAGAGAATGGCTGAGAAAGGAGATCATTTAGGAACCCATGTCTAATGTTGTGTATTTTCCTTGCATTGGGGCCTGGAGTGATTTTGCAATATTTGGGTAAACGGAGCAGAAACTTAGTATAATTGGTTTAAATAAAAAGATGTTGTACTTGTGTTGATAAACACAGATCAGTTCCAAATACTATGACAATTTAGAAAGCATAAAGCCCAAACAGTATGGCTATAGAAACTTTCAATGGAATTTCTTGCTCCATCTCTGTGTTTTTGAGTCTTAACTTTATTTTTTCATTGACCTTTGTGTTCAGAAATATTTCTGATGCATTCCAAGGATCTGTGACTGTAGCTACTTGAGGCATCCCTGCTTTGGATGTCACCTTCACATTTGTGATGCTTCTAATGAGTCTGGTGAGAAGGATGGGTTTTCCATATTCCTTCTATTTTCCTCTCCTTGCTACCCTTTGCCTGCATTTTGGGTTAGAGATGAAAAACGATAAGAAAATGTAATGATGCACAAATTGCTTTGTGGGTATAACAATTATCTTTCTAAAGTTACAGTATTTATTTTTGGCTAACACTTTCTGTAATAAAATGCCATTTGTAAAACCCACCATAGTCCTGACAGAGAGATGTCCTATGTCTGTTTTCTGTGTGGGCCCTTAACCCCAGTCTCCCAGAGTGGTTGACCAGATGACTGCTTGAACCCAATATGGCCAAGACCTTTCCAAGCCAGGTCAGGGTAAATGGCCTTAATCTCTAGAGCCTGAAAGAATTATTGAGTTTGCTGGAAGCAATTGTAAAAATATGCTGGTATTCTTCTTGACCTTTAGAATTTGAAGGTGTGGTGTTCTGGGTTGAAGAATGGTATTTTTTGGATACAGCACTTTATTTCCATTTGTATATGTTGATGTTTTAATAAGTGGTTTAAAAAACAAAGAAGCCCTTACTTGTTCTCCTAGCAGGAGTGGGTTAGACCTCTAAGCATCCCTTCTTTTGCCCAAAGAACTCTTCCCCTTTGAAATAATTATCAGTGGCTTGGGTTTGGTCTAATGGTGACTGGGGTTACTGAGAGGAGTCAATCTTTTAAATCCTGTTCATTTTGGTCATTGGGTGGAAAGAAGAGCTTAAGTTTACTTCTGGTTGCTACCTCTGGACCACTGCCCAGAGTCGGGACTTAGTGTCCTGTAGGTGACTTTAGTGGGCCATTTGTTTTCTTTCCATTAAGTGAAGAAGCAACTCCATGAGCCTCTCCTGAATAGACAGAGCTGCTGTCGGGTTTAGCATCCATGTGGGTCTCAAGGTGGATTGTTTTGGCAATCTGGAACTGGGTAGTCAGCGGAGCCTGTGCCCAGCTCTCCATCTGTTCCAGAACTCAGGAGACTGTACTGTTACAGTAAGAACAGGGTAAAGGGAGACAATTGCAATGAGTGCAGCGAGAAAACCCCAGGGAGAGAGCCCATCTGTCACTCTGGGAGGTGTAGTCCACCAGCCTCAGCCTGCCTTTGTGAATCAGCAGACCAGCTGCGGTGTACCCAAAAAACCTGGTCCAAAATCTTGTTGGTAAAGATTCACAGTATGATAATCTGCTGGAAGTGGGTGTGTAAACCAGCTGGTGTCTGGGAGATTATATTAGGCCTCTTCTACCCAGGACAAAAATGCAGAGCCATCCTTAAAGTCCTGGTTATTCTTCTCTGGAGAATATTGCTGAAGTGGGAGAAAGAGAAGGGGGCTTAGCACATTCTGCCTTCCCCTTAGAAACTCCCTTCAGGGGTTTTGCCATGGAGTGTGCTGCTGTACAACCTGTCTCCCTTTGGCTTCCTTCCCTGCAGTGTGCAACCAGCAGAATGCCCTTAAGTCAGAGAAGAGGCATGGTTGCTTGGGTACTTGTGTGTCAGATGACACTGATTACAGCTTTGTTTTATAATCCCTAGGTCCTGAAGATGGCATAGTAAAAAAAATAAAACAGAAGGCACCTTCTAATGATTGTGAACATCTCTACCCGTGGATGCCAGCCCAGGCCAGTGGCTTCGTGTTGAGCCAAAGGAACTTGTCCACCGTATTGCCGAAAACCTCTTTCTCTCCTAATTCATGAGCCAGCAGGATGCGGTCGCTGCGCTTTCAGAACGCCTTCTCATAGCTGCGTACAAAGGCCAAGCAGAGAATGTGGTTCAGCTCATCAACAAGGGCGCCAAGGTAGCGGTTACCAAGGTAACAAGAGGAAAACGCTGCAACCATTCCCTGGGAACTRGCCTACCTCTTAACCATTGTCCATAAAACTGTTGTTTCTGATTCACAGCTTTCAAAAGAACCGGCTTTCGGTCCAGTGACAGGTTTGGGGGAGAAAGGAGGGGTATTACGAATGCYTTCATTGCCATCTTTCAAATGAAATAACTTGTAATTAGCATTTGACAGTCTTTAAAATCATAGCATGTCTTTTTTTCTTACCTACTTATTTTAGTCAAACGGTCAAGAGATCTCTTGAGAGTAGTTGGGACACAAAAGCTCACTGGGCAGGGTGTGTGATAATCACATTAAACAAGCCTCCTAGGGCCAGCTAGTGGTTGGGAAAACCCCCACCGCACAGTCTCACTGTCYCTGTGTACACAGTGACAGCCTGGACCAAATGACCACCACCATGAGTCAATGAAAAATGAATGGCAAACTATGGAGGACATTGCTTTCCCCTCACCAACAGATGATGCCGTAGCAGACGAGAGAACATACTGATCAAAGGCAGTTTTGTAGCAAGGCCAAGAAAAGGCAGTCCTGTGCAGTTAGATGTCAAGTTCAAATATACCTGTGGAGGATCACCAACGGTGAGCACTTACCTAGCTTGTAGCATACAGCCCTCTAGTGGAGGTTCTCTCCTCACCACCACTGTGGAAATGAGGAAACTGAGGCACAAAGGGATTTGAGTAACTTCCCCAGGCAAAAATGCAAATTTACCCATGGAGTCAGGCTGCTAAGCCCACCCTCCAGGCCACCCCAGAGAGCTGTAGAGATGGAGAGAAGGAGTTTAATTTTCAAACAGTATCATCTGTTAACATCTAGAGATTGGCCAGCTCACATTTTCAGTTACTCATATATATTCTCTGTATTGCATACAGGTTTCTTAAAAAAAAAAAAAAAAGAGGATCTTGAGCTGCTTGTAGGTCACCTATGGAGCCTAACAGTGGGATGCACAGAAATAAATTGTTTATAACTGAATATGGAGTGAGCTTTAACCCTGGCTTCTTGTGATCTGCCCATAGTGCTCTTCAGGACCCAGGCAATCACAAACAAGAGAGTATATGAACTCTGTAGTTACAGCATGTGCTCACAGGTTTTATTTGTGCTTTGTTTGCTGATTTGCAAGTTGCTTAGCTTTTTTGAGCTTCAGTTTCTGCAACTGTAAAACAGGTATAATATAACAACCCTGAAAAGCTAGTAATGATAGCAATTATTAAAGTACATAGTCTGCAAGGTTTTTTTTTTTTGGGGGGGGGGGTACTGGGGATTGAACCCAGGGTTGCTTAACCACATCCCCAACCCTTTTATATGTTGTATTGAGATAGGATCTCACTGAGTTGCTTAGAGCCTTGCTAAATTGCTGAGGCTGTCTTTGAACTCATGATCCTCCTCTCTCAGCCTCCCAAGCTGCTGGGATTACAGGTGTGCACCACCATGCCTGGCTGGCATCTGCAAGTTTTTTTTTTTTTTATAATATAAAATTTTAATATAGGAAAACAGCACAGAGTTTGGGAATGGTGGAATTGCCCTGTTGGAAGTTTCTTTTTCTTTTTTTTTTTTTTATTGTTGGTCGTTCAAAACATTACATAGTTCTCAATACATCATATTTCACAGTTTGATTCAAGTGGGTTATGAACTCCCAATTATCTGCAAGTTTTTAACATAAACTTCATAAGGCCCTGAGCTTGGTTCCCAGTGCTACCATAAACGGCAACAACAATGAGAGCTTAAGCTTATTTCTGTGCTACCTCTGGACCACTGTACTGAGTCAGGACTTGGTGTCCTGAAGGTGATTTTAGTGGGCCATTTGTTTTCCTTCCATTAAGTGAGGAAGTGACATCATGAGCCTCTCCTAAATTGACAGAGCTGCAATAATGGAAACAAACAGCTTTACTGAGGTATACTTTACAGGCTGAGAAGCTCACCCATTATTAATTGTACAATTCAGTAATTTCTGGTGCATTTAAAGAATTGTGCAACCATCACCACTGCTGCAGACTGAATTGCCCCCCAGCTTTCATATGTTGAAACCCTGGTCCCTGAAGTGGTGGAATTTGGAGTCGGGCCCTTTGGGAGGTAATTAGATTTTGATGAGGTCATGAGCATGGGTCCCTATGATTGGTAGATAAGGGTCCTTATAAATAGAGATACCAGAGAGCTTATTCTTCCTCCCTGCCATGTGAGGACACTGAGATGGGGGGCCATCAGCAAGCTAGGAAGAGAGCTCACCAAAACCCACATGCTGGCACCCTGATCTTGCACTTCTCAGCCTCCAGAACTATGAGAAATTTCTGTTGTTGGCAGCATGGGAAGACTAATTCAACCACGTTCTAATTTTGGAACTTTTCTATCACCCCAGTAAGAAACTTCATAGCCACTTGCTATCAATCCCCATTCCTATCCCCAGCCCTTTGTGGGGTTTTTTTGTTGTTGCTACTGAGGATTGAACCCTGGGTCCTTTGTCACTGAGCTACATTCCCAGTCCTTAGCTAAGTTGCTAAGGCTGGCCTCAAACTTATGATCCTCCTGCCTCAGCCTCTCAAGTTGCTGGGATTTCAAGCCTGTGCTGCCCATCCTAGCCCATCTTAAGTTTACAATTCAGGGGCATTGAATACAATCATATTGTTGTACAACTTGTCACCATCCGTCTCCAGAATTTTTTTCATCTTTCCAAACAAACTCTATACTCATTAAACACTAACTCCTTATTTCCCCGTCTTGATACCTGGAACCCACCATTCGACTTCCTATCTTCCTGAATTTGAGTACTCTGGGTACCTCAAGATGTGTGGAATCCTACCATATTCATCCCCTTGTGACTGACTTATTTCACTTAGCACCATGCGTGGTATATAGCATGTTTAGGGTATCATTCCTTACTAAGGCTGATTAATATTTCATTTTATGTGAATATCACATCTTGTTTATCCTTTCCAGAATCAATGGACACTTGGGTTGCTTCCACCTCTTGACTGTTGGGAATTGTGCTGTATAAACTGGGTGTAAATGAGTGTTCAGGTCTTTGCTTTCATTTCTTCTGGATATGCACCCAGAAGTGGAATTGCTAGATAGTGTGGTAGTTCAATTTTTAAATTTTTGACAGAACTGCTTACTAGTTTCCATGTTTTTCACAGCCTGCTCTCCACAGAGGCATATCTAAGATTTACCCTATCATTGAACACAGATGGAATTGTCAGCTATAATGGCTCCAATCTCCCATTGTGTGGATAAACTGTGGATTTTATTCAGTCACCTCCTTATGAGCATTTAGGTTGTCTACAAATTTTGCATTCTTTGCTATCATAGAGGATGCTAGGTGTCTTTCAGATTTAGGAGAATATCTGTTAGGTAAACGTCTAGAAAGAGAATTCCTGGGACAAAAGGCATAGTCATTGATATGTTAATGATTTCCACTAGATAGGAGGTAAATGAGTGTGGCCCATCAAGAGCTTTTAGGAATAAAGTTCAATGGATCCTCTGGGTGAAGAGCCAGGGCTTGGGTAGGACACTGTCTGAAAGACACATCTTGGAGATGGTTGGGTCAGGGCTTTTAGAAGCGTAGAGTCCGAGTTTCATTATCTGAATGAAAGTTTGAAAATGCTTGGGAAAGACCCAGTTGGGTGTAGGTGGGGTTATTATATTCATGCAAAACAATAACACCTTTAATAATGAAGGAATTTTAGGTGACTGTCCCTCAAAGGCCTTTGTGTTATAGGTTTGGTCTCCCCTGGATGCTGGAGGTGGAATCATTAAGAGGCAGGGCTTAGTGGGCATTCTTCAGATCAGTGAAGGGCATGCCCTTGGAGAGATGATGGGTCCCCACCTGGACTTCCTCTTTTGCTCTCTGTCCATGAGGCAATTGGTTTTGCTCCACCAGGGTGCTCCATATGTGTTGCCTTTCCACCAGAGGCCTAAAAACCATAGGCTTACCCCATCACAGACCAGAAAGAACTCTTCAGCCATGAGCCAAACCTTTCCTCTTTACAAGTTAGATATTTGTTGCTGTAACAGAAAGCTGACCAATACAGGTTTCTACTAATAATTGTGCTTTCCAGTAAGCATAAACAGATAGCCCCAGGCAGACAGGAATACATTGCCCACTCTAGTAGAAAGGCACCATTTTCATTCAGTTGGGGACCCGGTCTACTTCAAATTGTGGGTTTGTGTTTAATAGTAAGACTTACTGCAAAGGTGTGGGTCAGAACTTGGATTTGCCAGCCTGTTGTATAGTCATTTCTGTTAAGCTCACAGTTCCCAGGAGGTAGGTGGGGGAGAAAATATATGCTTACTTATATAGGGGGTGATGGCCAGCCTCTCATTGGAGGGTTCTTCTTCCTGCCAAGGAGGGTGTAAGACACCTGAGAAATTAAAGTCTAGAATAACTAGTGAAGAACAAAAGACAAAGAATCAAATATATTTTCAAAAACTGAGCCCTGGTAGGTTTAGTCCACACAGGAGCTGGAACTAGACAAGGCAAAATGGCTCCAGCAGTTTATTTAAGGGGGTTCATCAAAGGCAGGGATGAGATTTCAGGGGTGGATTCTTGCTTCATGCTGTCTTGAAGTCAGCAGGTTGATTGGCATCTTGGCAGGTCACCCCATCTCTGCTGTGTGGGACCTTTGGCAGAACCGAATATGAATTCATAACGTGTCAGGGCAGTTAACCAGAAGGAATGTCCACTGGTCATTCCCAGACACCAGATGTTCCTATTCAATAGGCTCGGTGCATGGTGGACCAAACGCAGCCCATGGATGGCTCACAACATAGAAGGTTGCTGGTCAGGTGAAAACTTTCACTGGAGAATGTGCTGTAGGTCATGTGCTTTTTCCAGAGGACTCTATGCACTAATTTATTAAAATATAATTTCTTAAAAATACTTAAATTAGTAATGATTTAATAAGCAGTTACAAAGCTTAACTAATCTTTCTCCCATGCTGTCTCCTCACCAGGGTTTCCCACCTGGAAGGTATGCTGCCTGT